TATGTTTAGAAAAAGACATCTTTAAATCTATAGGACAAGCGCATAATGTTATGAGTATTGCAGCACGTGACATTGTGTCTTTACTTTGAATTTAGCAATCATCATGTACGAGGTGGGACTCGAAACAAGTTATTCCGGTATAACTCGTCTATGCACAAAGAGTTGCCTTCATTAATATCGTGTATTAACTGTCATTCATATAAGTTTTTTTTGTGCTAAATGAACGTACCGTTTCCCGTAAATATGGCCACTCTATTCGAGAGAATGCAACATCACAATTTCATCATTAAATAATAAATCTGATTACCTTGACAGAGCAAATTTTACAATACCAGATGATGATTAAGTTACTTTTCACGTGAAATATGCAAGAATTATTAAGACGCTTCATTGCGCATGTTTTTTATAAATGTCAGAAGTAAATAAATGAATAAAAATATTTTCAATAGAAATTCGTAAATAAATAAATTATATAAATTCGCAAAAATTGAAGATTAAATTATGAAAGCGCGCGTTTAATTTTATCGTAGCTAACAAAAACGAGAATGAAATGAGGAAACGATGTTCGGCTTTATGAAAGTTCCGCATAGCGTATCGATAGAGTACTTGTAAAATTAGCCGCGGGCAATGATGTATCTCGCGCAGACTCTTTCATGCGAGGGAATACCAGTGTCAAAGAACAATAAGGGGTTACAAAGTCCTAGTAATATAAAGCGGTGGTGTATGGTGTCGGAGATGCTGATCCGGAAATAACCGTGGCCATAAATGCAAGCCGGACGCGTTACTATACGTGGAAGAACGAACGAAGGGAACAGCGAGTTGAGAACGGATGGTTAGCGATGGTTAAAAGCACTGCAGGTGACTCCTCTTGCTGCCGTTCCTCAAACGGATCATAATGGCTAGTTTTACGGTCTAAATTCCCACTTAGACGCCGACGCAAATTAACTTCTTGTGAACTTGGCTTTTACCGTAGATCTGAGAAATCATCTCCTCCTACTTTTATTTGCCGCTCTCTATTTACGCTTATTAAGGTCGCAGAAAATTCGGCGGTATCCATCTGCGAATTAATCTAATTACTAGCATAATGTGTACACGTAATATATTTCTGATAATGTAAATAATACAAAATTCGTAATTGGATTTGGTCTCGAGAAAATTGCATCATTAAGGGTATTTTTAAAGTTCAAAATGATTGTAAGGGAAGAAAATTAAGCATGAAAAAGTGCAGCCAATTTTTTGAGAGTTTTTAAATCATATGTACTTGTATAAATTAATTCTATATGCGTGATTAATAGGAAAGCATAAATAATAAATATGATATGAATTTTATATGAACATTATCAATATTTCAACAACAAAGATAAAAGCATGAGAGGCATGATATTCTACAGTTTAAATAAAAATTATCGCGTTATATTGCATGTTAAACAATGGAAATAATAAATCATACACAATCTTCCCGAACACGAAGGGATTATGAGATATGTTTATGGAACTTTTGAGAGAAACGCATAAGATAAAACCGTTATATTGCGGTTAGCTAATAAATTTTGCATATTTTCACTCAGCAAAACGATTTAAAAAATTATGTAATGCATGACACGCTAGATATATATTGGGTCACAAATGGGTCAGAAGAGTTTAGTGGCTTATGTTTTAAATACATGGCAAAAACGAAACAGTTTAAAAGTATAAGGAAGCCACTTTCATCTCGCGTTCAATGTTCGTGAGATAGATGATTTTTCAAGACAGACCACGCGCGTTTATTACTGCTATTAAAAATCTAATTAAAACAGAGCAGTATTTATGAGTTCTCGTAAACTTTGACTTGAAAGGCATCGAACCGCTTACATAAAGTAAGAAGTAGCACAAAAAGAGAAATAAACCCGCGTTGTTATCCCTGGCAACGAGTACACGTTGCCAAACGGACTTCAAAGCGTATGAATTGTTCCCAACAGCTGTCGATGCAACTGTATGGCATTATTGTACTTTATGACGCTGTCCATTACATTAATCGATTGTTGGCAGGAGAGAATAAACGCTGACGCGAGTGTAAATTGTGGTCCCATGAATATTACGAGTCTAACATTACTCATATGCAACAATCATGACAATGTCGTAATGATTATTCTGTTATACGTATAAGTATCCTTGCAATTATATTTCTCTATAAATCGAGCTTGAATCAAGTATTCCAGCTGCGTCAAAGATGTAATCCAGTTATAATTTCTCTTGAGATTAAATGAACGATTATGCGTTATGTCATATAATTACAGCTATATTCAAATTACACCGTGATTATACCGTGATACGTCAATGAAATTCTAATTTGTCATCATTAGAAGCGTGTGCGTTTTTCACACATATCACGTTATGTTTTATCAAATTTCTTCAATTAATTTATCTTTTGTCAAAATTTTTAATTTCAACTAGAATTATCAAGATGTTAAAAATATCAATAAACACAATGAATTTTCCAATTTCAAGAACAGATCACGATCTTGCCATAGAGAACATTTCACTGACAGCATAGCGATACAAGCAGGGTTATGAAAGAACCCACACATTAAAAATCTCCATAAAAACAATCCTAAAAAAACACTCCTAAAAAAGTCTCCAATCACTTTCGATCATCGTTGAACAAATTTCGACCATCTAGAGCAAGAGAAAGCGTTAATGCGAAGTGAATTTCTCCATGATTTTCCCCTCGTCTTCGCGATTTACGCGGAATCGCATGTGAAAATCTTTATTCATGCAAGAACTAAAATTATCACAATTTTAGAGATAAATTATTATTAATGTAATGATTATAAATATTTTCAAGTTATAGCTGTGTTTTCCAATGTAACATTTTAACAAATCGTTAAAAAAGAATAAGTTAAAGATTAAATTGTAAAAACATGGGTTGTTTTCACAATAAGAAATAATGTATCAAATTGTTGAAGAATTGTTTAAGAAATTGTAAAATGTAATACACGAAGCTTTGTGTCAATGAAAGTATATATCATGATATCAATGCGTCGATCTCGTAATATTAAAATATGCGCAGACACGGTGGGCAGAGACCGGCCACGATACCATCTACGGTATAGCTCAGGCGTTAGCTCGTGAAACGGCTTCCGAACCTTTCTTCATGTTCCATTCGACCTCTGTAGCATGTTTCTTCGTGCATTCATGATCCAGATTGGGTCATAGAAATGGTAATTTCGAATTACGTGTGTCGTATCTTAAATACGCTTCAACAATTTCAACTGTATGGCTTGGTGTTATTAATTTTCATCATAGCATTCCCCGATCTCGATTTTTATCTATTTTCGTTATTAATCTTCTCTATCGTAATATATATTTTATATGTTAGAGATCTCGATCGTAGTAAATGATACATACATATAATATAATACATTTAAAGCGAATTATTCTTCATATAATAGATAAAAATATGAATAAAAAATAGAAGCGATAAATGGATAGATTTTATCAAAATTAGAACATCTCTCTTCTCCTTCCGTAAACTAGAGCTGAAAGTTCGTTTGTTACTGAATTACAACAAACATTGAGAGATCTCGAATCAAAGTGTTCGTTTGACAAATTAAAATTTGTATTAATCTTTAGCGAAGTCATTTATGTTTTTTGAATTTTTTGATCAGAGATTCGTTGTGCGTTCTCATGTAGACCCTGTAAAGATTTTCAAATGGCGAAGTCGCGTCGACAATAAGGCAACCCGCTCTTCGATTTCACCCTCCGGAATTGTCTTTCCTTTTAGCGGCATGATCTTTTTGCGAGATCGTCACCGAGATGCAAGGTACCGCACGTTTCAACCTAGTTTGGACACGCTAACCTCGTCGCATATAAATTTCGCTCATTCCATCTTTTCCACGTTCATTTCGCCTCTTTCTTCATTTAGTTTTTCTATCTTGTGTTCCATCTTTCGATAAGTAATTAGTATTAAATCATCATTTAATTAAGCAATAATTTAATATTGAATTATTAGACGATTTCAAATTTATTTATTTTATTATATATTATTATTATTATAGTTGATTATGTCAAATATATTTTTCTCTTTCAAAAATCATCGATAGCGAGTACTATCGTTAAATCACAGTTAACAGTTATTTAAATTCTAAATTAGATGTACATATATGACGATGTATATGAAAGATAATTTTTTTTTCTTTCTGTTATGAATTCAATACTAGATTTCTCCGAGATAATCATCCTCGATTGGGTAATCGAGTTTTGCATTATTCATCTCGCACAATATTATATCATGTAGGCCGTTAAAAGAACGCTTCAAGTATCATTTTAATCGTGCCTCCAAATGAATTGTAATGATTCATCGCGGCTCTCCGAACTATTACGGAGTTTCAGAGCAGGCAAACTTTGAGGAGCTTCGACAAGGCGTGACGGCGAAATGACAGTAATTTTATATACCTACGTACTCCGTCAACTACGGTGACATCGTGTAACGCATGATTAACGTCGACAACGGTTACGTCGCGATGCCATTACCAGCAGACAAATTGAGTTTATTATCGCGACTTGGGCGTTATAGCCTTGGAGACTACTAGACGATATTAGAATCAGTCGAATGCTGACCAGGTCGTATCTATTAAGTCTATCTGTCTAGAACAGACAATCTCATAGTACTTTAAAGGTAATCGTATCAGCATACAATCATTGCCAACATATAAAAATGCCATAAGAGCGATGGATTACGATATGAAATTTTTATCGAGATTAATCCTTTCGTCAAGATGATGTGATTGTATCTAATCTAATTTATTACATGTTTAATATAAAAATTACAAAATTTAATAAATGTCAAAGTTCGCACAATGTTATATAACAATGTTATTGATTAAAGATTGTAACACTATAATATATCGATTCAAAAAATAATCTATAAAAAAATTATAGATTTCTAATAATATTACAAGAAAATAATTGATCAAAGAATCTATGCAATTTCAATAATAATGTTTGAAAATTCTTTGTAGAATGAAAATAAGACATTTGTCTTTGGAATTAAGGGCGATATAGATTATCTCCATTCGACCAACCAGCCGTCCACTGTGGAATATTTACCAAAGAACAGTAAGTATGTGTGCATGCTACTTTGTTTTCATAAAAATATTTCCTCTTAATTGAAAATATTTTTTCCAACATATCTTACATTATATTCATAGAAGCTACAAAGCTGTCGCATTTCACAAGTTGGAGCGAATGGTCAGTGTGCGATCGTTATTGTACACAAAATCGTGTCAGGAGGTGCCGATTGAAAGAAAATTGTGGATCAACTGTACTTAGGGTAAAAATATATAAATATATATTTACGATATTATTGTGAATGAGCTTCGGTTAAAGATCCAGATGCATCATATGACAAAATTATCCTTTTATAATACACACACATATGCAAGTGTATTTAATGTATTTATTTGTATTAATTTGCAACGACATAAAGAGAACTTCTTTCTAATATGTAATTATGAAAGAATATTTTGTCATACATCGTATTTTCTCCTATAATATACATCAATATTAATGACTTGTCATAATGTAATAGGAAGAACGCGGTTGTGAACATAACAGAGAGGGTCGTCGAAGACGTTGCAAGCACCGTCGGAGACATCGACGAAGGGATAAAGGATTTCATGTGATAAGAGATAAAAGATTTCAGGTGAGTCGCGATATGAGTCGCCTCTAATTTTTAATTAATAAATAAATATATGCTTTTGACAGATACCTAGAGAACCTAGGCATGGAAAGCGAAGAGAAAATATTAAAGAACACTCTGAGAGACATTATGGGAAATGGAGTAAATGGTCGCCTTGCACGAGACTATGCACCACGCAACGTCATAAGTATATCATATAAAATTTATACGTATTTTTACGTAATTAATGTCAATAAATATATATTCGTTCCGTTCTGATTAGATGGTGCAGAAAGCCTGGCATTTGTGGTCGCGATGTGATACGAGAGAGCGCTTATTGTTACGTTGACGGTAGCTTTTGCCAAAGATGGATCAATCGAAAGATTCACGGTAGCCACGAAGAAGATGGTGAAAGTAAATATCTTGAACAACACTTGAAATTTGATTTAAATAAAATATTAATAATTGATTTTTGTTCAATTTTCTAGACTTGGTGTTGGACGAGTTCGAACTTAATCCTAACGCAGTGGATAGTTTCGCTCCGGATAAGAATCCAAATACTTGGAAGTGTGGAATAGCGAATTCTCACAAAAGTGCTAGATTATCGTACTTCATGCGAATTATCGGCGGCCGTCCAGCTACACCTGGAAGTTGGCCGTGGCAAGTGGCAGTATTAAATCGATTTCGAGTACGCAACGATATTAATCTTACATTTCTGCTAAATCAATAACCGTAGGAATAAGATTAAAATTAGAATAGCACAGAAATTTATAAAATTATAAATTATAGGAAAAAAGACTTTACGTTATTTAAATCTGCAAAATTAATAGCCTTTATTTTTCTAGGAAGCTTTTTGCGGCGGAACATTAGTATCTCCACGATGGGTATTGACTGCCGCACATTGTATTAGAAAACGTCTGTACGTTCGTATTGGAGAACACGATTTAACGAAGAAAGAAGGCCCGGAATTAGAGCTTAGGGTACGAATCACAATCGAAAAGCTCAATGAAGATAATTTTATGCTCTATTGTGACAAGGTTTATGAATGTGTAGGTGGACTCTGTGACCATCCACCCGGAATACGACGCCGATACTGTTGATAACGACGTGGCTCTACTTCGTTTACCTATTATCCTAACTCCGTCTCCCTCGAGAGGTATCGCATGTTTACCTGCGCCGAAGCAGCCTTTACCTACGAATCAATTTTGCACTATTATCGGCTGGGGCAAATCCAGCGTGACGGATGATTATGGAACAGATGTGCTACATGAAGTCAAAGTACGCGATTTCATCCTACATTTTAATGAAAAAAAAAAATTTAATTGTTTGATGATATAATAATAAGGATACAACGGCAATTACATGTGAAAAACAATATAGAAACATCAAGTTTGATTTTAGGTTCCAATAGTGTCACCCGAAACCTGCCGAAAAGTCTACATAGATTATAGGATCACGGACAATATGTTCTGTGCCGGTTATCGTCGCGGAAAAATGGATTCTTGCGCGGGTGACAGCGGAGGTCCTCTACTCTGCAAAGATCCTCGAAAGCCCGATCATCCGTGGACAATTTTTGGCATCACTAGTTTCGGTGAAGGTTGCGGCAAACGTGGCAAATTCGGTATATATGCGAGACTATCCAATTATGTACGTTGGATTACAAAAGTGATAAAACAGACAGATGAATGAATATACTTAGAAGATATGCTTAAATTATAATTGTAATTAGTATTTACATATAATTGTAATTAATATTTACATATGAACGAAGATAAAGGCGGAAAATGAATGATGAAACAATCAAATTACAAATTTCAAGTATCTCGATATGGTAAATAGTGCAAACACATGTTTGAAAAAATTAAATGTAAAGCTAATTATATTGAACTTTTGTTATTACATCACATATTTCTGCAAGCATAGTTTGTATCTTTTTATATAAGGATTTACGGAATGAAGTGTAATTTTTGCAGAAATTAACACAGTTGATTGTGTCTATTATAGTTTTCTTTACTTATCCGTTACTTACCTTTAAACCAAATATCTATGAATTACAATTAAATATATAAATAATATTATTGGAAATCCGAAGAAAAAGAAATGTTTACATAATCTTTATATTTCTTATATTATGATCATACAATTCTAATTCATCCTCTTTCTATTCAATGAACGAGATCGCTAGATAAGAAATATAATATAAAAATTGGAAACTTATACTCTGTGCGATTTGTTTTCTTTACAGCTGTCGATACGTAGTAAAATATAAAAAACGGCGAAAAGAATATTTAAAAAAATCAAACAACATTTCAATCGATAGTAGAATTCTGTATACATCATTATATAGTCTAATATAGTGGTGCCATCTTCTGCAGTTATATCGCACATATGTTTCTCTTTTTAAATATACGGAGTCATAAATGCAGAGAGACTCGCACATTGCATTGTGATAATAAAAAGCAAAATACGATCTTAGTAATATCAATGTAATATTAGAATATCATTAAGCGTTTCTGTAAATTCAACAAATAAGATTAATTAAATTTACATTTTGAGAAATCCATCTCGGGATGTTGTTGCATAAACCTGTAAAAATTTAATAAATTATTTAAAATATTAATATATAATATACAATCTATATATGCGCAAAAATATCTTACTTTTTAATAACATCCTGTTTCTTTTGCTCATCGGATGTTGGAAGTCCTAACTCCTTCTGCCTTTGATCATACATCATCTTTTCTACGAGGCCTCGTGTCTCTCCATCGAGGTCAGAAAGCTTACTAGGTTCGGGATTTACTTTCTTCGTACTGATTTCCGGCTCGCTCGTTATTACATGAGCCCACCATTGCATCTTATTAACCTATATGTCGTAAATGTCGATTTCATTATTGATTAGAAGAATGATTACATAATCTATTATATCACATACAAATTCATATTTATAAATATTGCTGTTAACAATCTTTTGTTTTTAATTAAACAATTATAAAGGCATTCTGATATTTTGTATCATTTAATCGATAGTCGAATTACATTGATATAATGTCCATACCTCTTAATATATATGTCGCAAATGAATACAATATAATTATTGTATTTTTGATTTCATGAAATAAAATTTTTTATATTGCGACAAGTATAATTGCGAATGATTAATACGATAATCATGGAATAATTAATTAGTACTCAATTAAATATTTTTGCATGTTCATTGGATTTATTGCCAATCGATCATGCGTATCTTGAATCTCCACACGCACATACGTTTGCGATTAAACGATCTTTAGAACTATCGGAATTACCGTTCTGGCAAGGCCGAAGAGCGGCAAGGTCGCGAAAAAGCATATTACTAATGCGAGGGCGCGGATTGTGCCACATGTGTATGTGTCCACGACTCACCTTTTCCAGATTAATCAACAACACTTTCCCATCCTCGAGTAGCCAAGAAGATTCCTCGACTTTGACCTCGTGCGGGAAATCCCCATCAAGAATTGGCGGATGGCCCTTAAGTCCGCAGCGTAAATGTTTTTTCGTGATCGACACAATCATGTCTCTCGGCTTGGCCGAGAAACTTACCTTTAGCGGCGCTCTAATCTATAATATAAAAATCGTAACATGTATTTACTTGCTCGTTCGGGCGAATATTATGCACAAGTGGCGACTAAAAAATTCGTCTGCAAAAATTTCATTAGAAATTTATCCATTATTATTATACGCGAAGAATATAAATAAATGATATACATTATATATTTTTTTATTTTATATAATTCGTTTTTCCTATTTTATATAATCCGTTTCCTCTATTCTTTAATATAAATTAATATTAATTTATTTCGATAAATAATTTTGAGATAATGGTTTAACGCAAAAACTACAAATTCCCATGGATAATTGGCACATTCAAGTAGAAAGAAACAATGAATAGAATGATCAGTCAATATTGAGAGCGAGACTCGTTTTCAATGTGTTCTGCACGAATGCGTTTATATCCTTTTACGATTACGATCTCGTTGCAGATCATTGTGATCCGGATCACAGCGACCTCGGGCTTGGATTTGGGAAATGAAAAATCGCAATGACTTTAGAAGACCTTGGAAAGTTTGTGGGAGCATTCGAATCTTCCAACCGTGAATTGGAAGATGAAAGATGCATTGTAACGTTCGACAAAACGAAATGACAAAGGTTCGACATTCCTACCAAATATATATTCGTACGATACACTTCATTAACCACGGAAAGGGCTCGCTTTAACTTATAACAGACGGACCAGATCTTGACTTTGGATCATTGCCAGGTTCATTATATTGACCTTTGGTCAAGAATAGGTCGAGTACGAACCTTTATGTTCAAATCTGAAGTGTCAAACGATCAAGTCATCCATTTGTATGGTCATGAATCGTCAGCAAGATTAAGAAAGTCGTGACAATAATTTCGTATTCATTAAAACTATGTGTGGTTGCATAATATACATAAAGTTGTATTTAAAAATATATTACGATCCTAAATTTCTGATTTAATTAGATTTTCATGGACATACATGTGTATGTACATTTAATTAAATCGAGAATCTTCCGATAAAAATTCTGAAGCAATTATTGAGCAGCAAAATTCATTAACATATTCTTATATCATTGCGACAAATGACTTATATCCCATACATCTCTACATTTCAATTCCAATTTATAATGAATATACAATTTAAATATTTCCTGAGTTTATTACGCATGCAAATTCCGCTTCATTATCTTGGACTTTATCTTGTATTTTTCCGGCTATTATTATTCAAATGATAGTTAAGATTTTACATATATTTTATGTAATTCTCATGCCATATGGCTTTGTAGCTAAACCCACAAATAGTTCAATTATTCACGGTTGAATCTCTGCAGCTGATGCATTTATAAATCATTGCGACATTTTTACACACATTTACTTTGTACATATTTGATATTTCACTCTTTGCGATTTGGTTCTTAAAGGAAACAAAATAGCAGCTCATGTGTTAGGGAGACCATCATCATTATCTCACAGTCGATTGTTCTTAGATTTCTACAATGACAACAACGACGACGATGGAGTGGAGATAGAGTCGGATGCATCGGTGCGTGGAAACGGATCATGGCTACCGACTTTGCGTCCGATGTTAACAAAGTGGAATATCATTATAAAAGCAACGAGAAGGCGAGGAAGAAGACGGTTATAAGGCTGTTGTACACTTTACCGAGGTCTAGCCTAAGTAGACTGACACATATATGCTTTAACAATCTTTGAGACATTCGTGGAATGCCCGTTACAAATCAATTCATACCACAAATAAGAATTTTGACATTTCATTATTTGTTTTTTGCAACCACAATGATATTGCATTTTTCTAGGCCATTATTTGGTAACATATGGCTCTCAAAAAGTAATATTATTTTCTTATTTACTCTCGTGCTACCTTTGCTATTATGTTCGAACTTTGATCAATGCTACTGCGAAAGTATATATGCTATATAAACGTGCAATTAGTATTTTTACTTTTAAAAAATGACGTTCAGAGATCAGGGATTCTTATGTATACGATTGGTAATCACAGCTGTATTGATACAGCTTGCCGAGGCTCTTCCACGAGTAAAGAATTATTTTTAATTATACGTAATAAAAAGATAAAGACATATTTTCAAAGGCATATTCAGTTATAATTGCTTTTTCATTTTTCTATATATACGAATATAATTTGCTTCCTAAATGATTTTATTTCGTTATTAAAATGTATATTCAAGAATTTAATAATTTTTATCAATATTTAACAATTTTATAGTCAATATTAATTGTGAATACTACTGAGAATAAAAAAATTGCATAATAATAAAAATTCACAGAATAATATTGTTAATTTCATATTTTTAGTGTAAATCATTGATATTCCTATCGGTTTAACCTGGCACCCGCATAATGTGTTGTATCGATGTCGTGTGACGGCCAGACTTGCGAAATGTTTCTTTTTATTACCATATACTCGTATTATAGTTGCACCGCGTTGAGATAACGTAAACATATGTAGACTCTTTTTACATGTAGATATATATGTGTATGTACCTTTATATATGAGATATCAATAACAATGATGAGAATAATGAATGAACAGCATCTTTGACAGTTTGCTGCAAGAATGCAATTAGAAATGGAAATATAGCTATTTGATCGTCAGCTTTACGAAGAAATGTACGAGATATATTATTCATATTCAAATACATTCATACTATTGTGCTTTGGTATAAGAATGGAGTAAATGTTTTCAAAACCAGAGAGAAAAAAACAGATGATTAAATCTCTAGTCCTTGAATTTAAAAGAAATAACTGTATCTTGTTAATTAATTCTTTAAAATCATAATAAATTTATGTCGGAATAAAATCATAATAAATGTTGGATTTTTTTAAAAAATATTATCGATATATAATAATTACTATAATTTATTTAATAGTTTACGATATTATGTCAGCTTTTTAGAGAGAATTGATAATATGTATAAATAAACTGGTCAAATTTTGGAATTCTTATTGTTTTATGATATCATGAACAATTGTAAATGACGTATCCGCGCACTAAAAATGGCATGTTGATCATTCATAATAAAGACAAGATCTTCATCTAGAAGAATTCTAATAAAGGCTTTGTCACAATAAAGAAATTATTACCTACTTTTAAAACTATGTGCTAAGCTAAGAATACATGGTTTGTTTGCTATTTATAAATATGTTTTCATAGTTAATTAAGCACACGTGTATGCACTTTTGATCGAATTCCATGGAATTTTATTCTTTTATGTGCATAATTAGAGAGAGCAATTTAAAACTGATATACAGGATACATTATTAACAAATGATACTCCACTTGTTCATCACAATTTTATAGCAGATATCGTAAACTTTCTGTTTCGAATTTTATTATTAATTAAATAATAGGTAATAAAATCCATTTTAAAATCATCTTATATGTCTTAGAGATTGTGAGTTTTTTAATCATTCGTTAATATTATACAAACGTTTGTACTTACATCAGAGTCACATATGTTCCGATAGATTTTATTTCGCGTATATTTGCGAATTATTTTGATTTTAGCATTTGTAAACGACACATAGGCGCTAAAAATGGCATGAGGATTGTGGCTAATACAAGTTCATAGGCTCAACGTGATGAAGCTCTATCGGCATTCGACTTGTTGTCACGAACGAACGAACGTGACACCAAAGGCTGCTATAGCTGCGCATCATCTCGCTCGTGGATAACCGATTTATTTGGCGCTTCGGTGGAATCCTTGATACTAAAGGATCGCACGTTTACCAGGCCTTGCTTGCGTAACCGAATAGTTTGTTCATTACTCACGATGTTGAATAACACGCTTCTTTTCGAGGCGGAGAAGATCTCGCGACGAGATCAAAATTTGTAATCGCGACTCCGACATTGCACGGTATATTAACGTACAAATGAAATTTTTCTATTCGCCTAGAAGCACATCGGTAGATAGTAAAAAATATTAAATCATCAGTTTACGATAGAGACGGTAAAGACTCGACAAAGGACGGTATCTCTTCAAGACATCAAGGACGCCGCGAAATGTAAACGAAAAAGAGCTTATGCACGAAGATTAATATATTACTTAAATAATTATAGAAGTTACTTTAGTGAAACGTTAGGCAAATGTAGTAATTGCTGAAGTTGAAAAATATTTATGTCCTAAAATCGCTCTTATATTTTAACTTATTTGTTAGACATCTGAATGTGCAAAATTAATATTTGCGATTATCAGATTTTACTACTCATATTATAAGTATACATTGGAAGATGCATATTGTTAAACATGTGCCAAAGAAATATTATGAAACTAAAAACATTACTATTATCTTGAACGATCTAACTTGCAAAAAAAGAAATATTAAAAAGTCAATCTTATTAAAATCAGTTTTAACAATTTGTCATATAAAATATATCATATAAAATACTATTGTGAATTGTGAAATTATTTCTTTTGAGTATTTCTGAGTGCATTAATTTTCCTGCATCTTCACAAAAATTTTTTATACTAACAGATTATCATAATAATAACGTATTTTGAAAATAATATATATCGACAACGATTAATGTTAAATGAATTTTACATCATGTTAACGTCATAAAATCTGGTTTGTAAATCAGCAATTATCTACATAAGCGTCATTTCACATTTTTCATAATCAGTTAAATCTTGTTGCGGCAGAAGATATAATTATCCCATAACAATCATTTAATGCGTGTATTTACAAAACCACACACAATTAATGTTAATCGCTGTTTTAACAATAAGACAAAATGGTACAGATAAAACATTAACGTATGGCTTCCGGTAGATGCTGCAGACATTAAATATTATATTCAAACAATAATAATTCTCATTACAACCAATAACTGTCATTAAATAATAAATGCAGCTACAAATTATACGGATAAGATAATAATACAATATATTATTTCAGAGACAAAATGACGCCAGAGCAGTATTTAAAAGCCGCGGTTTTATAATAAATAAAAAAATTAATAATTAATTACTAATAAATAAAAAAATTTTGACGCA